ACGACGACGTGCTTTGATCTGTTCAATATTTCATGAAATTTTGCCATGTTTGAGCTTGGTTGAGACCTCACTGCCATGACTGTAGTACGTCCGATGAGTGTAACTAGTGCAGTTCTATGCATTTGGTAGCACGTAATGTATTGGATCTATATTGGGGGAAAAAAATAAATAAAGAAAGAAAAAAGAAACCTATATGAAATCTGATGTTCTCATGTAAGTGAAGATGTCAATGTTGGTCTGCTGGGTTCTAATGCCATGTGGACTTGTAAGTAGATACAAAGGTTTCATCTTCAGGGCTGGTTCATCAATCCCTTGGAGTAAACAAAATATTTCTGGGGGTTTGCCAGAAGGAATGCAAAACTACTTATTTTTGTCTTTCATATTTTAAGACAAATCCAAAACAGATTGTTGCAGATAGTGATGCTCTGTTTATTTCAAAAACGTCTTGTGAAGTGTTCCAAATGCATACCTAGCACAGTTATGTCAACTTCCTTTCCTTTCAGAACAAAATTAGATTTGTGAAATGCTGTATGGAAATTCATTTGCATAAAGGCCTGCTGAAGTGGGTGTCTAGAAGAAAATAGGGGAGAAATTTTTCTGAAAAGATACATTTTGGGTAGGTGTTTATGTATTAGTAATTTCTGAGGAGGTATTCGTAGAGGATGGAGTGATACGGTTAGTGACACAGCACTTGGGAGTAACATTGCATTGAAGTCTCTGCTTACGTACTTCAACACTTGCTTGCAGAATGCAGTAAAAGTAAATAGTCCTTTATGCATCACAGAGCATCAGGTTACAGCATAAATTACTTAACGGATAAGATATGTTGATTATTTGTGTAATTACTATATGTCACATTTCATTTGCACAAAGAACATACTTAAACTATTCCAATGCACATAGTAGAATTTCTCATCTAGCACATTGTGTGAATACCAGCAGACACTGACAACCAATAACCAACAAAAACTGACCTCGGTTACACACCCACATATATATCACCTTTAAACAATGAAAACATGGTGCTTCTGACAAAATTGTTGGCAGCGCTGAATGGTGTAGGTGTTGTCTAGACTGGGAAAATGCGTGTTGCGCCGATAGCGATAGATTGCCGTATTAATAGAATGGCGTGATAGGCTACGTTGGCCTAGTTGGTCGTAAGTAGTCATGATGACGTGTTCATTATCTCGATACTAGATGGCGTTGAGTGGTCAGCTTCCATGTTACATTCGAGCTTTACAGAACCTTGGTGCAACATAATTATTCAAAGAAGCTCACACTCTCAAAGCAATGGAAAATTTTGCATGACTAAGAGGAAAGCAAGTACCAGAACAGGACAATGAGTTGTGTTCCATAAAATGATAAAGAAGACACATATCGAGAAGAATTTGTGATGGCAACTTCTCTTATCGATATCATGAGCCTGGAAGGAACCATGTATAATTCATAATTAGTAATAGCTCCAGTTATATAATTAACGGTCCATTAATACGCATAATTTACCACTAGTGTCATATTTGTAACAACCCCAGTAGTGTAACGCGAGTTCCTCCCTCTCAGGTCTAACTATTTTCTTCACTGCGCTAATATCAAACACTCCTAATCTGTGTTCTTCCCCTAATATGAAAGACTGTATCACACTCATACAAAACAGGAGATAAGATTGCGAATTTTATATTATAGCCTAATATTTGTTTTCCAAACCGGACAGGAAGCCATAAGAGTGTTAACAGGCAGTCACCTAATTAAATCTCTTAATATGCTCACGTATAGGCCTGCATATGAATTTTAAATTGTGCATTTTCAAACGATCTGCCACCTTTATCCAATTACTTATGTCCTGTTCTAAATTCAGGTGATAAGGCATGGTATTTGTGTTTTTAGCCAGTGAATCAATATTATCAGGCTACAAAGAACAAATTTGTTTGGGACAAGATTTTGCAGATTTGGCAAGTCTGTTGTCATTAGGATAGGTTTCTGCGCCAAATTTCTAAGGTTCGAGAATAAATGTGAAAGGAATATGTAAGTACCTAATTTAGGAAACTGCCCATACTTTTGACTGGCGGGACTGGAACCACTGAAATCGGCAGTTAGGACATCCGAAGTCCAATCCGAGACTTGATCGTACGACCCCTCGAGGACATGAAGCAGAAAGGTTAATCACTGAGTAGTGACGTTCGGCTATTTCCATAAAAGACGTTTAGTTTCTTCAGTACCTGAGCTACTGTTAGGTTCTGAAGAAGTGACTGTTATTCTTGCAATTATCACGAGCTGAGATACGCAAACTTCACATTTGTAGAATTTGTTTAAAAGCTTCAATGGAACACAATTTCGCTTTGGACGTTGGCTGTGATACTTAATGAAGTCTCGTGCAGAAATGATAAGTTACAACTCTCGACGCTGAACTGCTAGCGGTCCATTGTACGACGTGAGACGTGGGAAAAATTGTCTGTTCCATTAGTCAGATTAAATCGGGAGGAAGATGTAGTTTTTTTTTCTCAAACAGGTAAAAAACATTATAAAAATAATGTGTATCTACTGAATGTAAATGTAGCAAAACTATACTCTTATTGAAACAGCTTGACATATATATCGAAGGAAAACAGATGGACCGTGATATAGAAAAATTTGAGAAATACTGCAGTAAATTTCGATCTTTAAGTACATCAACTTATGATTTTGCATTGCTTGATAGTGATTTGTTAAGAGACAATGAACTTCACATCAATTTAAAGATGGCAGTTGAGATAAGGCGATCTGCATTAATCTCTTAGCCTACGTAAGAACGAGGTCGGTGTTTGTTTGCTCTGATACATACTTGAGCTCACAAAGGGGATATTTAAACGGTCGTGAGCATAGAAGAAAATATTTAAATTATGTTCGGACGCTATTTGCCAATTTTCTTCGCCTGTAATTGGTTGTTTTGAGCGACAATTCTTATGTGTGAATTCTTTTGGATCCATATTACAGAGTACTATCGCTTATTACTATTCAGCTGCATGTCTTTGTGTCACATTTTTCAGATAAAGAGATATTATGAAAAATTTAAAATACTTTCTCACACGGAAATGTTACATTACGAAGCCATATTCTCCAAGGCCACCGCATGAGCTTCGCTTGTCTAAGCCGCTTTAAAGGCACAGATGCGATATTTCTAGTCTGGCTGCTACTGTCCAATCTTTTAGCAATCTGTCAGCTTCCCACTTCCCTCATCCTCTCGTCGTTCTGCAGGCAAATTCTAAATGGTTGCGTTCCAATGTGCGTACACACATCTACGTATTTTTCATTAAAATCAGAGATTATTGTGTTCTTGCTCCTGACCAAACACCAAGAAACCAATTTTGGAACCTACCCTATGAAAGTCAACTTCAGCCCTTATCTTGAGGGTGTGAAGTTTAAACCACGATTCGCATTATAGCAGACTCTCATTGGTTAAAATAAGACTTCTAGCTTTTGAGTTACGTAACTTGCAAACGTACACAGATCTTGAAACTCGCCACTTTTACCAGGCCGAGGTTCTCACGGCGATGAATGTATCAATTGTGGTCTTCTTGGTTGTGAAGCCTGTGGTCTTGTAGGTGATTCGGGTAGAAAACTTCTACTTTGGAGACGAGGACGAAAATTAGGCGCCCTCCTGAAAGAATATACTTTGTGTCATAACCAGCAGTCCGTAATCCATCACCCATAAACATCTATTGCCAAAACGTGTAATGCGTAATAATTTACCATTTTTCCCGTTAATGGGTTTATATCGAATAGTTCAGTTTCACACAGCTGCCAAAATATGGAAAAGAGAACTAAATATAATTAAAAAATAAAATAAAACTATACATAAGCCTACTTAATGCTAATCCTCAACACCAGATGCAATGGTTTTACCACCAGGGTTTTGTTAGCGAGGAAACGATGTACGACTACTACGTCTTTGTCACCGAGCTTTATCCCAGGCACTTGGAAATTCACCTCCACACCATACGCTGCACCAACGTACTGTTTGGGAAGCTTCACATTTAATCCAAGTCTGAAGGGTTTTGACGATGGTACGGTCCCGCGTCTAGGTGTTATTAACAGTATAATAACTTTTCGGAAGATGGTCACGTGAATGGAGGGCAAGATTTTACACTTTTGGGCCCCATGATCGACGTAGTCTAAAACCCAGGTTTGAAATTTATACCTGAGAATGGTACAGAAAGAACTTCCGAAACGTTATAGTTTTTATAACACCAAGACGACGAAAAGACAGTTTTTTTACATTTACATGAAACCTTGTGGAGATTGCTTTAGTAGACTGCCTCATCCCCTAACTTTGAGGCTCTATACACAATGTTATTTAAACAAGTCCATTTTCTGACTAACATAATTCTAGAGCTTTTCATTAAATTTTACTTCTGGCCTTTGAAAATGGCGCAAGTGACGTCATAGTGACTAACTATTCCTCTACCAGTAGCCTCCAAATTACATGATTACACTCGTTTTAATATTTACGTCAATTTCTGGATTAATATTCAGCAAGTTATCTGTAGTATTTTGAAAGGAGAAATGCATGGAAAGGAAAATGTTAGTTCTGAAAAAAGGGTTAATTTATTTTAGTTATACAAAGAAACATATCATTTTATTTATTATTAAAAATATATAAGCTATTGTATGTATTTATATCTTATTTCTCCACAATATATTATTTTAATTAATCAATTTGATTAAATATTTATCATCAATCGGCACAAAGAAACAACAGACTGCGACGTCATCACACTCGTCCAACAAACATGATTTCACTTGTTAATGTTTTGTTTTATATCTTATTACAACTCTACTCCACTTAAGGGTTCTACATAACAATGTTTACACTTCAGTTCGTAGCGTACAACAATGACGAAAATATCACTCATCCCAAATCGAATAAATTTCTTCTTCATAATAGGTCCATTTCATTCATTTTCACAGAAATTTAAAATTCATTATTTGCACGACGACAAACTTTCATAGCGTACGAAAGAAATCACTTCAAAATCGATTTGTACTTCATCCTCTCCGAGAAGCCGATTTCCATTCGTCGGTTACAAATCCCTCGATTTCACAGCACAAAATCCCAGAATATAGCCATCTTTGTAGTTAACATCATCCTTTAAAGAACTCGGCGAGCCTTGTCCGGAGCTTCATTTTGTATAAAAACTAAAAAAAATTAATTATGAGCGGAACGGGTCTCAGAGCCTTGAACGAGCGAGAAGGCTGAAGGTGTGATGACACGTGTTCAATTCGTGTTTCAATCTTTCGATAACTGGGAAGAGTGACATTTTTATAAAGCTGTACTCCATTAACTACTACTTGGAAAATATTCTGTAAAAAGGGATTTAAATAAGAATGGCTTTGCGACTGGTTTACAATTAAATTCAAACACTGGGCAGTAACTGGAAAGAATACTTTACACTCAGTGATAACTGCTTCCTTTTCGTAAAAAGGTCGGTGAGCTATTTTATTACGGTGGAGTGTGTTCATTACACTTCACATACCATCCATTATTTCTCAACTGATAAACAAGTTTCTTCTTAATTAATGCTAATGTAAAATTACTATGTTATCTATTTCATAGTTTCATTTATTCTTGTGCAACAGTTTCCATAATAAATCTCCTGATAATGCAACTGGAATTCAGATACTGCTGATTATGTGTGAGGTACTGAACCTCAAAACTTTTTTTGAGTGTTTCGACACAAACACAATGCAAGTCTGTAATGGAACTATCACAAATATGTTAAATTTAAAAATCGTAGAACAGAATTATCAAAATATTTGGTTTTATATTTTTGAGTTCTCAGCATGACAGACCATTTTCAAACACAGCGGAACCTCGGACTCGCTGTGACCAAGTCCCCCGATACGATAACACGTGTCTTACGTCGTATAAATTTCTATGAAATGTTTTCGTTACATTATAAGGCTGTATTGCGACATTCCTTACTGCGGGGTGCGGGTACAGAATGTAAAGTCCACAGTCCGCTACCAATAGATATTTTTCTGCTTTCTTTAACCTTGGGGTTATTCTGTTCAAACAGCAAAATTTAGCGAGCATCACTTTTGGTTGAGACAAGAAGAGTTCCATTGTTCCGATGCTAATTCTTTTAGATGCTCAAAGAATTATGGATGAAATTTTAGAGTACGATTGGTGAAACATAACTTTGAAATGAACCTTAAATTTAATGTATTTTAGTCACTGGATAAATATATATAATATCAGGGATTCCAAAATTAGATAAATGTAAATTTTACATAAAATGCGGGTAGCTTATAACATGGGCACTGAAGCTGTCCCCCGAAACCAGCGATATATCAAGGTTCTACCGTACTAATAAGGCGACTGTTACGCCACAGAGAATAAACCTTTCAAATTTTTAGAAAAGTAAAGTCAAACTGGTACATCACCAACAAACAAATAATGTTGTCACAAAATTAAACGTTCGAGTATTCTACGTAAGTTTGTACCCCCTCGGCAAATATTCATATGTCTTCCAAGAGTTAAAAAACAAATTTGTCCCTGGTAGATCACATGAATGTACTCGTGGCAGAGTTTGAAACCCATTCATCCAGTTTGTGATCAGACCCTTTCATGAGCTACTCTTAGAATTGTCTAGATTTGATATACGCGCACTCTATGTTACAATTGAGTTATTGAAACATGTGGTGTAGTACGGCTGACAAAACTACACGTCACGAATCCAGCGCTGACTCCAAATTACCTTGCATTAAATGGAGAATTATTTTGAAAACTTTTTTTAATTCCACCTATCTACAGAGTGGTTTCTAGAATACGAACACATTTTCTTGTGTGCAAACAGTTTACATCGGTGACGAGAACGACGACTCTCTTTATAAATTTAGGTGTCTTGATCACTTCTGTTCCCTGTTCATGGGACGTACAGTCAAGATGTTCTAACTCCCCGTAGCACTGAAGCAGTCGGTATACTCCGCCGATCATCCTACGAGTTCGTATTTAAATGCACTTTTCAAATAACACTATTAAAAGAATTATAAAGGCAATCATTTATAACTTTAAACATAGCAAATAATGAATAGGTTCCTTCGAAGATTATAAAAAAATTTCAAAAAAAATATCCACAATATTATTGCCACAATAACGGAACGAATACGCGCGTAGATGTTTGATGCCCTTTCTGTATAAATTAAAATATTATATTGCAATAAAAAATTTAAACAGATTAACACCACAATTCCTATTCTTAGTGTCTCAAACTACAAGAAGCTCGGAGACTATTACTGCACACTTAATCAAGTTCTCAGCTATTCTCCACAATTATAAAATGGTTAACTTCTGCTATGCTCTTTCATTTCACGTAATAATCAGCACAAAAACAGAGATGCAGGTGTCAGTCTGTCACGTGCAGAATTTCCCTCCATTCCGATTCAAGACATCTTAACTGTCTTTCAATGTCGATTCACAGACACTGGCATTCAGAACCTAACACTTCACTTTCGACGACAGCATCTAGAAATACATCCAGTGACTTCTGTTGCGACGTCTCTTGGAGATCGCATCACATAAATATAATTACACAACATAAAGTCACAATTTTATAAAGCTCTGGTATCAAGAGTTAGATGTACAAATTATCTTCTCCACATCTACACTTACCAACAGACCTAAAACTGCATTTCTGTCGATAAGCGTCAGTACTGTTATTTGGGATAAAAAGTCCTTAACGAATAATGTAGCTCGGTAACCACTGAATTCATCACCAGCTGACAGCAGCAACTAACCTCTCATCATGATGACATCGCGTGGGAGGTGGAGGTACCGGCACGGCCCCAGAGGTAGCGGCCGAAGGCAGTCGACCTGTTGTTTTATCGCGGCGTAGTCGTTGCTGCAGAGTCAGCCGATCGTCGGCGTGACATCAGTACGGTATGTCGATATCGTCGTCGTGGTCCCCCGCCCGCTTGTGACACAAACAAGCACGACACAGGACTACTAGACACGTGATTGCCAGGACTGCGCCAGCCGCAGCTCCCAGTCCTATTGCCAACCAGTTGACGGCGTCTGCCTCAGCTCTCTCACATAATTCTGGTGACTCATCACTACCCGTCACTCCACTTTCTTCAACTGTGTCCAATGTGACATTTGGACAATTCACGACTCCATTACAGACCAACCTCGTTGGTATACACAGACCAGAGTCGCCAGGACACTCAAACTCACACCTGCCTGCAGAATCAGACGAGCCCGAAGAACTGCTGCTCTCCGTCAGTCTCGAAGTCATCATGGTGCCATCTGGATTTCTCGGTAAGTGGTACATTTCAGTCCACGCGATTTTAAACGCTGTTCGAGTGGGTGAGACCGAGCTCGTGAACTGAATCTTGACTGACGGGGCTTCTGCGTCTGCCGCGGCGGGTAAAATGGTCGGTGTCGCGCCTGTCTGTGGCGGTGGTAACATAGACAGTTCCGTTGCTGACAGAATCGGCAACTGCTTAAGAGAGCTCACATTCTCACCACAAACAGAAAGAAAAGGCTCATTTGGTTTGGAAGGCAGGAAAAACTCAAGTCGGCCATCTTCACACGTTCTGGAAGCAAATTTTATCTTGTCAATGTGAAGCCAGAGGTCAAGCTGGCGGGTAACCCTAAGTTCCCAGATGCATCGGATGGTTTTGGGAGGTTCGACGTAGCCTAGCGCCTCAAAGAAGGGAAAATGTAACTCGCCCTCGGCTGTCGGAGGTATAAGAGGCGGTCCACACAGCGGACCGTGCACAAATTCATATCTAGCTTCAAAGAGTGGTGTTGGGTGTTTGAAATAGCTTGAAGCAGCGTGGGCTGCGTCCACATGAAGCTGCAGGTTCAGCGACTCTCCCTTAGAGACGACGGTCACTGGCAGAGTGGGGAACGACTGGGCTCCTGAGGCACGTTTGCAAAGACAAACCCTAGTGCTGGATGTTGAGGTGTTATTACTGCCAGTCTGGGGAGATTCCCAGATGAGAAGCTTGTCCACACGATCCTCCCAGCAGTCATCACAAGGGACTGCATTGTAGGGATAGTCCTAAAAATATACAGGATCTCAACAACAAACTCAAAAATTTCCCCCTTCCACAGCTCAGGGCATTACCAGATCCCCTGTTTAATCACATCCTCAGGAATAACTTCAACCATTTTAATTAAGGGAGTTCTGACTTGCTTCAGAACCCTTAAAATAGAGCAGTAAATGTGACCGTGAGGTAATTATCAATGATAACAAAATCTAATCGTGTTAATTCCCTATGCAAGACTCAAACCTATGACCAAAGCCACGAAACAACGAGCTCGACTGCTTTAGGAGTAACAAATTACATGGAGCAGTGTTCTTCTTCATAAACTAATATGTACTCCTGTAATTATTCCACTTATACATATAAATCATAATTTCTAATCAACAAATCTCACATATTAAGAGTTATTAAATTTCTCGACTTTTCAAACTAACACATCGTACTCTTGAATATCTACCACGGTCTTAGAATTTTACAGTTTTATATAAAATTTATCCTAATTATTTATTTTTGTGTGGTAGAGTGCCAAATATCAACAGCCATCGGAATGAGACGCACCTTGAAACTGATGGCCTCGACAGTGAGGATGACACGGGCAAACAGCCTCTTGTCCGTAACAAAGCGGTAGAGGCAACGGACGTCTTCGGTGGGGTCGCTGCGCTTATACACCAGGGTGTTCAGTGGGGAACGAAACCAACCACTGGGAGAATGCCAGCTGGAGAACACCTCGTCGCACGCGCTGTCCGGGATTTTCTCTCCGTACCTCGAGTTGTTAAAGAAATCGTAATGTGCCCAGTAGTACAGCGACGATCTGGAAACAAATGATAAATCTGAGTAGCAAATTTCAATGAAATTAAATACATTAGAGAATCTGAACAGAAGAAACCACTCTGAAGACCTTGTCACAGATGGACAAATGAGAAAGTGGAACTTGGATAAACAGATTTGAAAAATGTTTTATTTGTGATTTTGTCTATCATAGGTTTAAAAATGAAATATATTATTTATAAACCTTTTACTGCATTTCAAACCATCACAGATCAGTAAAACCTGAAATTCGATCTATATCGATAAATTTAAACTGAGCCATCCAAAGATACAAACAAACAGCTTTTCTCTCTTACACACGTTCTCACACAGATGAATGCCATCTGTTGATCAACCAATGTATTACGTCAAACGCTCCTTGTCTTATTTATCTTCCATCAATGTTTCCACTCTTACAGGCCAATAGTCGAAAAGTGTTGTCTCCACTTTGCGATTTCTTCCTTCTCCTTCCCATGCATGCTACATGCTTCTTTAATTTTGGCCCTGATACTTACCCCGAGTAGCTTCCTGTCTTGCTCTCGAATCTGACAAAGAGGGCGTTTCCCGTCGACACAAAATCGTGCTTCTCCATGGCGCGTGAGAACGTGTCGCAGAACGTTTTGATGATGCGGGAATCATCAGGCCACGACGCGTCATACAAAGTCAGAGACTCACCGCAGTCCCCATCAAAAATCTGGATGGGGGATTCTATCCTGTTGATACGGAAACTGCAAAAGGAACACGGAATAACATCGCAACTGATCTTCAGGAAATAAATTTAGTCTGCACTGGATAATGGACTAGCGACGGGATCTTGTGACCTCGGAGGTCTTCAGGTTCGGCAAACGGCAGGGAAATCTGTGACACTACAAGCTTCTGAGGAAGGAATCTGCTCCATCGAGTTCTTTAACAGTTACATGAGGTAGGTATTTTTTAGTGTGAAAGGGATATTTCAGTCTGCCGTGCCCAGTGGCAACACAAAACGCCTGTCACCACTAACCGAATAGTCTGACACAGTTTCTTCGTTGTGTGTTGGTTGTTTAATATTATTTTCGAACGCAGAAGTACGAAATAAGTCAGCAGTGTTTCGACTTGTTACTCAGTGTTGTCACTCTAAGCTGATTTTCTACGAATATGTTAAAATAGGGCATTTGGTACATTACCGGTTAAAAATATTCCTAGCTAACATCTATGAAACCCGAAAACTAAATAATATGTCCAAAGGAGCTATGTTTTCAGTCAGAAGAAATATAATTTCTGATATTAAAACGTTCTTAAACTGCTATCGCCCCTTATAGACTTCTGAAACACTGAATATCAAATCACAGAAAACTACAATTTTGCTGCTCGTTGCGCATGATTAGACTCCGTCTACATGCATAATAGTATTAGACGCCTAGCTGCATCGGCAACTTCTCTGGCACAGCTTTCTTGCATATAGTCTGCACTACACTCTGCAGGCTGAAGTGTGTAAAGTCTATCAGCGAGAGCTTTAAGAGGGCGAAAACGTCCATGCTTGTAAGATTTCATCTAATCTCTAAGATTCAGGGATTAGTAGCTCAAATCTGCCACGGCACTTTTCCTTCACTTCCTTGCTACTCATCAATCATCATTCATTCCACGCTACTTAAAAAGCGTCATAGATCAATGAATCATTTATACGTGCATGCATGCATACATACGTACACAGCACACACGCGCAACTTTGCAGCAACACACGATCTAGCGTGCCGTGAGATACGAACTACCGCGTATCCCAACGTGTCCCTAAGCAGAGAAGACTGGGAAACACAGTTACAGGTTACGCCTTAAAATTAGGCATTCCGCGCCTCTTCTGGAACCAGAAATTTCATCATTATCCTCACAAGAGTCCGCCACCGGTCCTGAATCAAACGAATTCAGTCCCAACACTTCTACTAAATTTATTTAAAGTTTCGTTTGAGTATTATCCTCCCATTCCGTCGCCAATCTCTATGCTTCAAGGTCACAGCTAAATCGTACACCGTTGCAACACGAACAGTGGATCTCAGGAACTCTCAGCGTATTAAAGCTTCGAGCACCGCGTTAAGGGGAGGTGAAGTCCTTCGGTGACCTTGACTCATGACTTTGGTGACGGCTAGCAAAGGCGCCCCAATAATTTCACACGTCCTTTGGTCTGTAAGACGCTGTTCCCTCAGGCTTTACCTGGGGAAGTACAGTCTGACGATCTCGTCTTTCTGGCCCTGCATCAGGTATGTGCAGGACGTGTGAGGGGGGTACCAGTGGGCCACCGACAGGAAGATGCCCTCCGAGTCGCCAGAGGCCGCCAGGTCCTCGCTGGTAAGCACCCAGTCACACGTGCCGTTTCTACTTCCTGCGGTCTCCACGTGTCCCGGCCAGTTCCCCACGTTAAAGTGGAAGCCAGTGTTGAGCAGTGGCCCCGCCAGAGAACTCAAGAACTCCACGAACAGATCTTCACTCGTCCCGATGATAGAGTACGGGAATTTCCCCATGCCGCAAAAGGTACCTGCGTTATTTCATGGGGGAGAAAAATTCTGCCTGTCAGATAAATCAACAAATCGTCGAATTTACATGTCAGTTCATACAATGCAAAATATAAAAGTGCTTTAAGATCTCAGACATTTATATCAAATAGTTTTTGGCTTCATGGGAATTTAACTACATGCAAAGGCGAATAATCTCAATCTCTCTCTCTCTCTCTCTGTCAACAGTTCACAAAAATTTTTGTCTGTCAGCTGACGAAACGGACTATTGGCCTTCATGCGCTTTCAATTATTAGTAGTAAAAATTCGTACTTAAAACCCAGAAGAAATTTTACGATACGGAAATTACAAACACACAGCAGAAACATGAAATAGTGATTAATGTTGATAAATAAAATTACGTTTATTTGGAATATGACAAATTGTAGTCTAAATCGGTACAAGGAAAACACATTACAATTTGAATAATAAGTCGTCAGGAGTGGCGATTGGGTATAGCAACCATAGAGCAAACAAAAAACTGATTAAATCAAAGGAATTCCACTTATTTCGAAGAGACATCGGAATTAATTTTGTACTGAAATAGAACAGAACGCGTAAACGGAGCTGATAAATAACTTCGTTGATGAAATTATAAGGTAGAATACATTGCTGTACTAAAACACGCGGAGATTTTTCATCAGATTTCTAAAGTAAGAAGAATAAGAAAAAAGTACACACAGCGCTGAAAAATCTGAATACGAATCCCACTCTGCATGTGATAAGATTATAAGCCAGACATTCGTCCTCAGCAGTTGAGCTGAATCTTACCTATGACTGGACTCCCCTCGTTGATGCCGTCATATATCTTTATGTAATCATATGGACAGTGTTTCTCTCCAGATGAGATGGGCCGCATGGGGCACGTCATGATGTTCTCGCATCTCTGGCCGTCTATATTGAACTCCTCATTCTCTATGTAAAGTTTGATGAAGGGTAACCTGGTGTTCAGATGATAGCGACAGTGGAGACCTCTGGGGTAGACACCGGGATACGCTGGCGACTGCACGTAACATGTTTGAAGGCGACAGTCCCGGAACACGCGCTCACAGTACGACCTACACCAACAGTAACAACAACTAACTACATGGGAGGAGTCCCACTCGCTCTGACACTAGTTGTTTATAAGAATGTAGACACTAACGAGTCACGTGTTCTCACTTGTTTCAACGTAACCTAACCTAACCTAACTTAACCTAACCTAACCTAACCTAACTTCACTTAACCTAACCTAACCTAACTCAACCTAACCTAACCTAACCTAACCTAACTTAACTTAACCTAACCTAACCTAACTCAACCTAACCTAACCTAACCTAACCTAACTTAACCTAACCTAACCTAATCTAACCGGAATAGTATTTTGCTAAGGTCAACTCACCCTGAGACCACTTCTCCTCGGCGGTTGGGGTACAATTCTGGGTGCTGACCGTACCTCAGATAAACCTCGAACTGCTGCTCTGCACGAGAGTCGAAACTGAAATATGTCTGGTCCGTAAAGTTGTCAGTGTGAAACAACACCTTGACGAAGCTCGTCTCCGAGATGAATGTCTGCGGCTGCTCGGTCTCGCCGCAGAAAAAACCCGGGTCTTTCCGGTTGCTCACATCCGTCTTGGCGTTGCCATCCACGATCTGAAACAAGATCACGAACGTCAGCAAACTCTGAAATGAGACGGCGACAGTCAAGCTCAGATCACAGATTAATTACGTTTATAATAGTATCAGATAAGCTGAGACCTACTACAACAAGTTATTCACTGACGTTATTTTAATCACTGGAACGTTTAATGTAACTGACAAGTAGCCTTTGGTTAATGAAGTCGCTGTTACATATCTTGATGGCATTATTTCAATGACGGAGACTTTTAACTTCACTGCCACGCATCTGTTCGTTAATTGGAACAGCTGTTACATTGCGCCGGCCAGTTGCTGCAATACGTAGCCCAATCTTGCCCGTTATTAAAAAGGAATCTCTTGATTTATATGGCTAATTACTTTTTTCTGATTTTCATTAATATAACCCGGCAATATTTTCCATATCTACAACCTCAAGGGCAGGTAAAACTGTGCAATTCTGCTGATTTTATAGTAAGTTATTAATTTAAAAGTATAAAGTGTTGTACTGTGATATGTACGAGGTGCGATCGAAAGGTTTCAAGACTGCGCCTATAAAAACCCGTACACTTATCTCTGGTATTAAATTCATCCATCACCCTCGAAGTAGTTCCCCTGGGAGTGAACACAACGATCCCAGCGCCGCTGCCAAGCCTGGAAGCATCCCTGTAAATCTTTTTGAGGGCGGTGTGCGCTGGCGCGTTGTCTTGATGCGTCGCATGTGGAGTTCTTCCTTTAGAATCAGCTGACAGGTCCCAACAATGTCGCACAAGTCGTTGATGGTACGACGTCGATCTTCGTGAATGGCCTGCCGAATCTTGGTAACATTTTCGGGCGTTGTGCTCGAAGATGGTCGTCCAGAATGCTCGTCATCATCGACAGGGGTTCGGCCATTTTTAAAACGTGAATGCCACACAAAAGTTTGTGCACGACCCATTGCGGACTCCCCAAATGCTTGCTTTAGCATTTCATAGGTTTCCGTAGCCGTTTTGGCGAGTCTTTGGCAAAATTTGATGCACACGCCATTCCGAAATCGCAGGAGGGTCGGTGTAATGCATTACCAAAACGCCCGTAACTAAGAAACAAATGTTAATTCGATGATGCCGGCTGGCACATTGATTCACTATGAATGTAGGCCGCACCCCCTAAAGGCAGAAGCTCGTACTACATCCGGTTCGCCCTCTATTGACACAGTCTTGAAACTTTCCGATCGCACCTCGTACAGTACACCGTGTACCACAGTAAGGTAAATGTAATGCCTGGAACCTGGGAGTAAGTAAACGGGACGATACGCTTTTGTTATCACAGAAATCAACCATTGGGGTTCCATAAAAGCCAGTGAATTTCTTGACTAGTTGAACGACTACTGACTTCTACAAAAAAAAGTATCTTCAAATCGAATGTATGGCTGATTATTTCATCACTGACAGAACATATTTCCTGCGGTACACTTTTAATATACGTAAGCAGGAGACTGGATCTCTCCTGCGACTGTACACCGACCGATAAACTAATCCAAGCAAACTGTTCAAAGTTCCCCACCCTCCCCTTTCCGTCTCTCCTAAGATCGCAACAAACTTACACCGCATAAGCTTCATTCAGAAGACGGAACACATTTTAACTAATTTGATTAGCAAGACTCCTACACACGACGAAATAAACTTCCAGAATCTTATTCATGTATACACTGCACGAATTAAAAGGAAGTCTTCCTTAGAAGTTGGTACCCAGCAAATAGGAATTCAACAAGCCTTCAAGCTGCAAATCTAATATAAATAATATATGGTATATGTAAGGACTTATGAGCCGGGATAGCTCAATCATTATAGTGACTAGCTACGGGCTGGACGACCGGGGTTCGATCCTCGACTGGGGCAGAGGATTTTTCCTCTAGCCTCTGCGCCCAGACCGGCTCTGGGGCCCACCCAGCCTCCTCTGCAATGGGTACCGGGGTCCTTTCCCGGGGGTAAAGCCGGCCGGGGCGTGATGCTGACCACTCACCCCCATCTAGTGCCGAGGTCAAGGAAGAGAGGAGCTATACCTGCACTCACCCCAAACGCCTACATGGCGTATAGTCGGACAAACTTTACTTTTTACTTTTATATGTAAGGACTTGGTTCTTATCTCCAAGAGTACATCGCATCATGGTTACAGATATAAATGACGCGTACATTAATATTGGTTAGGAACATATTCATTCTTTACTACTAGAAGCAAACAAAATGCACTTATAAGCTCGGTGAATCACGTGCAGAGTTCTAAGCGCAAAAGCAGGACTCGTACGTTGTCACCACTGACCTATGAAGGGTTAATATGTAGCTTTAATGGGTTATAATCTATGTAAAATCACAAGGTAATTAATTCTGCAGCATGTAGTGTAGCTCTGTGTTGTGTTCCTCACTGACCTCACACTTAAGCCACTTTGATTACAATGGCGTGATGCTCTGTGTAATACTGGCATGAGTGAACAACTGCCATTAAGTGCTCAGCGTGGATTTAAGGTTAGGTTAGGCTCACTACATTCTGAACGGCTGAGAACACTGACTGCAAATGATGGATTATTATTTGTCAGCATCGGAATGAATAAAATCGATTTACATCCACAAGTTAAAAACATAATTTCACGAACACAAATATAACTTAAGGAGTCATTATATGCGTTTATTTGAATCCTGTGAATCGCTAGTTTGTAAACAGTCGTGCAACGATTAATCCATTCTCTAAAGATTAGTTTACATGCTCCGAACGTGTCTACTTATTTTTTATGTCAGTAGGCAATGGTTTCTTAATTGTTGTGTGTCTTGAGAATCTCTGACCAGCAGCACATACCAACATAACGACGATAAAAATCTCGCCAGAGGCAACAAGTCGAAGACGAGAATCTCATTTGTAAAAGTTTATGTCTATTCAGACTGAACTGAGACAAATACTAAACACTGATTTTATATATATATATATATATGTGTCTGAGCACAAAAATGAAACACCCAAGTTATATTCAACATACTTTTTAGTGACGTTTTTGGTTTCTGTGTTTTTTTGATCTCGTAACTCGGGGACCGTTCGACTGATTTTGACCAAACTATATAGTACAAATATGGCTAACCATCTCGAAACTTATCATAACGACTTAAAAGTATCGAGGAAGAAAATCCTGTTTTCTGTATTTATGCAGGCAAAACACTTCCTTCCGAGTTCGTAGACTCTAATGCTTAATTAACCATCTTACAATAGCGTCACTGGGGTTCACTCAAGTTCAGCGACAGAAGTGTTGAACGTCAATCCTTAGAGATAAAATGCATATTTATATTAATTCACTCTACATATACATGATTTCAGTAACTGTTTCATTTCAAAAGGATGTTGTATATTGGAGTTGAGGTTTTCACAGCGGTGAGTACCTGTATATTGGAGTTGAGATTTTCACAGCGATGAGTATGAAGATTTCTGTCTTCTGGGTTGTTGCGCTGTGTAGTTTGGTCGATGTTTACCAACGTTTCAGAGGTCATACTGCCTCCGTCATCAGGGCGATGAGTATGAAGATTTCTGTCTTCTGGGTTGTTGCGCTGTGTAGTTTGGTCGATGTTAACCAACGTTTCAGAGGTCATACTGCCTCCGTCATCAGAGTATGAAGATTTCTGTCTTCTGGGTTGTTGCTGTGTAGTCTGGTCGATGTTTACCAACGTTTCAGAGGTCATACTGCCTCCATTTCATCGCCCTGATGACAGAGGCAGTATGACCTCCGAAACTTTGGTAAACATCGACCAGACTACACGGCACAATAACCCAGAAAACAGAAATCTTCATATTGTATGTTATTTGTGTATTAAGTCCTTCTTTACACACTTTCTGAGAATTCAGGATAACGCATTACTTACAGATCCTCCATCCGTAACGCAGTCGTTCTGATGTAATACCATTTTGAATAATGCCGGGGCAGAATCCGAGCTTCGCCTAATGAGGCGATGTTATCAGGTTGGCGGCTGGGGGCGAAGGGACGAAAAGTCACAGAGTAAAAGGAAACTGGTTCACATTTTAAGGGTAAAACGACTTCCCTCTTCTCTACCCCTCATCTGGAAACCCACATGTAATTAGGCTGATTGCATGTAATTGGTAATTGGGTATCATTTAAAACAGTGAACCAAATCAACCCCCTCACTACCAGCCAGTGGGAGGAATGACCAGGAACGGGAGGGGTGATGGAGGGGTTGTGTGGAAATTAGATTAACGCAATTGCATGATGACATTTCGCAGTCGAAGGCGATTACACTGATGTATAACACACACAGATGTGCAGTACAGCTGCACTGAGGCAGAAATGTATCAGGAGATGCAAAGTCTGTAATGCAGATGCCTCAGTTTCGTAAGCATGAAAAATGTTCTTCCTGTCATGGTTTTGTCAGAAAATTAAAATACGAAGATCCTCGTCATTTGTGCTTGTTACCAAGTATTATTAGAACGGAAACGCCAAGGAATATGAGACGGGCGGGGAATGTGGCAGATGTGGGAGAAATAAGGAATGCACTAACAGTTTTGGTCAGGAAATATCAATTCACAACGCAAGCTGGGAAGCACTGGTTTAGAGTGGTAACTTTTAAGAGGAAGACTAAACTGAATACGTGGTTGTAGATTGGAGCTTTTAAGAGTAAGATTAAACTGAATACGTGGTTGTAGATTGGATTCATGTGGGTCAGTGAAGGGAGGGAGAATGGCGATCTCTTGTGAAAACCGTGCAGTTACCTGATCTCTCCTCGATAAAATCGGTGAATGGCTGTACGGAATTTGTATTTATTCAAATGATTTAAATTTCAGCAAATATTACTACAATTAAAATAACAATATCTGTAACGTACGCCAATATGGCACGCGGATTAGTCGACAGACGGAAACAACAGAAGAAACAGGGACAGAATGTAAGAAATAAAGATAAAGAAAGGACTGAAGGAAGAAACAAGAAAAGAATTACGGACAAGGGATCTGAAAGAAGAGGTAAGTGCAGTGGGCTGCTAATGCAACAT